GTCAAAAAAAATTTTCCCGACATACCAAAATTTTACCGAACATCAGACAAATTTTCCAAATAACACTAAATTTACCATAAAATTTACTGAATTTTCGAAAAAATTGACAGAATTTGTCCATTTTTTTTTATAACAAACCAAAATTGCCCGACTGTTCATCGAATATTGCCCGACTGCCCCAAAAACTGGGGGGGGGGCTACCGCCGCCCCCGCCCGGTACGCCTATGTCTTCATGCTTATAACAACTTTAACACAAAGCACGAAATTCTATCAAATTTGAGGGTAACCCCACACAATAAATTATACACAAAACGTTACCCCAAGAAAACTCGCAATCGAGGAACCTGGCTATTAAGGGAGGTCAAGCACCGTCCCCCAAACAAAATAAACACGAACAAGAAAAGAACAGACCCCTTCCTTAGAGTAGCCCCCTAATAGGCCCCTCAAACGGGGACAGCCAGAAACCACACAAAACCCCCTATATAACACACTTAAAAGAAAAATAAACAAGGTTACCACGGCCAGGGACTATTTGCCGCCGGACGTTGTTCAATCTTGGAAAAAGGAACCACCAAGATACGGCCGGCCAGGTAAACAGACAAGACCAAGACAAACCAAGCCGGATCAGACAGGACCAAGCCGGACCAGGCAGCAGGACCAGGCAGCACGACCAGGAGGCAGCACGAGAATCGCGCGTGGTGTGTTGCCTGTTTTGAATGCTGTTTGATTGTCTTATGATTGTGGTACGAACACTTTTCATATATACGCACGCGCAGAAACACATCTCCGTGTTCTTTTTTTTTAGGCATGCGCATAAACGGAATTTTCACCCCAATTGAAATGTTTAAGATTGGGGAATAAAAGCTGGCAAAGTGGTTGTTCGAATGTGTACGGGACGGTGTCGTCAGATACTGTCCATAGTTGTGCCGATGATTTTCGATGAGGTACAGCTCTCCAATGAGAGGGAATGATGTACGCTTTTGTCTTCTAAATTTCTCTCATCAAGCATGCAGGGGAAATTAGACAAAGAAATCCTTTGTTTTTAACTAAATTTCCCCGTTTCCCGGGGAAATTTAGAAGACAAAAGCGTATGCATGGGTAATGAGGGAAATACGTGATTAAACGTCCCTGTTGAAACAAAAAAAACCGAGGCTACCATGTGTTTACATGAGAGAGTAATGATATTAATGTGATGTTGTATTTTCTTTGCTGGAAAGCCCCATGACACCTAATTAAACCGCTCGCACGCCATTGTTCTTGCAAAAGGTCAATTCAATGTCAAAGTTTTATTGAAATATTTCGAGGGTTAATCAGAGAGTTTTTGAAAACAAGGCATCACCATACTGTGACTTATTCTCACATTAGAGAGGTTAAGATACCCCGGTTTCGGTGTACGGGTACGAGTAGTGTCATCTTGTTTTACTGATGTCTGTAATTCGATCATACTTTTTCAGTTTTCTTCCAATAGACAATGATATAATGCGAAAAATGTGCACCTTAATTACGAGTAAAGGTACAGACATGGACGAAAATATTGCTAACCAAAATCATGCTACCCGTACACGTACACCGAAACCGGTGTATCTTAACCTCTCTATTAAAATCCGGAAACGATACGATCGCTTGATACCCGGCGAGTGAGCGAAAAAATAAACTCATTTTGCATAATCTGACCGATTGTTCACATGCTATGGAACGTGTGTTTTGCAAAGAAAATACAACATATGTAAATCTGAGTTAGTCCTTAATAGACAAAAGGCATCCAAAACATAAACTACACAGAATACAATTTTACTCAGCTGTCTTGAACAGGGAAAATCACACTCACGCCTAATTGTTATGGTGATGAATTGTTGCGTCCGTTGAAGTTGACAGTAAACCACATATATTCGTATCAAAGGGGTTGATCGGTTAAATTTTAGGCTACACCACTCGCTATTTTGGTATTTTCTTTCCCCAACCATGGATCCTTCTATTTTACACTATGAACGAATAATCGCCAAACAAAAACTACAAACTCACGAACCAAACATATTGTAAATCCCAAGAGAATTCGTTCACTAGATTCCATCCGAAAATTTTCGACCATTTCATTCCGATCTGTACGTCACGATCGTTCTAATTAACGATAATTTCTTCCTTGTTAATTTCAATTCTTTTGAAAAACATTCGATTTAGAGTGAATAAACAGGTGGGAGATTTGTCTGCACATGCGCTACATTTTGCGCGTTTTAAGAGAAAGAGACTTGGTGCGAGTAAATATAGTAATTTGATTTTTGAGCGTTTTATTTGCGTTTTTGTCTCGTTTTTTCTGCTAACCAAAAAATTGTTAATCCATTGCATTGTTGGAAAGGCGAGGAAGGTATGAGAACGTTCACAGGCTAAAAATATTTATAAAATTGCAACTTTTGCATAACCTTATGTATCGGAACTGCCTCGGATTCCGATGGAAATGTCCAATAATTCCTACTATTCAGTATTTTTAGATGAATGAATTTATTATCTCCCAAAATAAAGTATATGTTTTAAGGAGTAGTTTAAACCATATTTGGTTTAGTTTAAACCATATTTGGTTTTGAGGCTCTCGGTGTGGTAGATTTTCGTTTGATCCCCACAATAAGAGCAAATTACGCGTTATATCTTGTGTTTTGTTTTATATCCCTTTCCAAATCACTCTCAGTTACATATATTCCCATGCAATAACAACATTTTGTTATCTCATGCCTGTCAATCAATTCCATATATGGTAGTCGCCTCATCTCTAAATTTAACTATTAATTATTAATGTCAACCTTTTCCCGACACACTCCCCCTATTTAGAAACGTAAGTTTTAAATATAAACTTATCTGTCTTATATACACACGAACGTCTACACGTATTCACCGTCTCTACCCATCAAAGTTCTTCCTCTTCCTGTTCATAAATTAGTTCAATATTCTTCCTTGCATCGACAGCCGCTCTACGCTTTGGTTTGAACTCCTTTGCAGCCGGATTCAATGGAACATTTTCTTGATTGCTTTCTCTATCGCAATGCAATTCCAAAGGGTAAAGAAATTGTATTGGTCTTTCCATGAATGATTTTCCTGCACGTAGTCTAACTCCACGAACCACTCCGTCTCTTCCAGGTACAAGTTGTTCAACAATCCCAAATTTCCACAGTCTACGATTCTTTTCATCACCTTTGATCAACATAACATCATCGTTTCTTAACTCTCTCTCTTTCCCGTCATGTGTTAAATTATGCCTTTCGCGAAGTGCTCTCATGTATTCTCGTCTCCATCGTTGCCATAACGCATCCTTACATTTCTTCAAATACTTCGCCCTCTTTCGCAGGTCTCGGTTCTTCTATATCCTCAGGTGATAACTCCATAAGATAACTGGCTTTACCGAAGATCATCATGTTCGGCGTCAACACGGGAGGTTGAATGTCATCCTCGCAGTACGATAGTGGTCGATTGTTCAATACGAGCTGGATATCTAGCATCACGTCTTGCAATTCTTTGAAGGCAAGTTTTGCCGATCCTACGACCTTGTAAAGAGCTTGTTTCACTATGCTAACCATTCGTTCAAACATTCCACCCCACTAGCTAGCTTTGCTTAGATTGAACTACCATTTCACACCATGTTCACTCAGGTAGCCTTGTAACCTTTCGTTCCGTACGACTTTCTTGATCCATTTGGCAGCAGCTACGAAAGTCTTTCCATTGTCGGATATGATTTTCTTCGGACGACTTCTTGCTGCGATGAATCTTTTAAAACTCATCAGGAACTCTTCACAACTCATGTTTGGCAGAATTGGCAGAATCTCCAAGTGAAGTCCTCTAGTTAAACTGCAGGTATAGATGACTATATACGACTTACGATCAGCTCCCCCATTTCCCTTGTAATAGATTGGTCCGGCATAATCGACACCAGTTACTTCGAAGGGGATTTCACCTTCAGTTCGTTCTTTTGGAAGATTCCCCTGAGGTGGAGCGGGCATTGGCGTTGTGTAAAATCGTTTACACCCATAGCATTTACCAATGACTTTCTTCACAAGACTTCGTAATGTAGAGATCCAATAATCGTCGCGTACTTTACTCATGGTTAACCCAATCCCGCCGTGAAGAGTGTAAAGATGTGCACGTTCGACAATTTTCAGAGATAGGAGGTGATTTGATGGCAAGTAAATCGGATAAAACCCTTGAATTCTCCCTTTACACACGTAAATGCCTTCTTCATTTTTCTGGAGATTCAATCGTTGAGAATGTTCTTTGAATTGAACAGAATTTTAATCGTCCTCTTGAACTCGTTTAATCAGAAATTTCAATTGTTCCTCAGTCTCTTCAGTCGTTAGTGGTCCGCTGATTCTTTTACTTCTTCGACAATTGACAGCAAATCTTTTGATCCATGCCAAAATTCGCACAGTTTTCCAAAGGGTTGTTTTCGCTGAAAGGTCGTCAAAGACATCTGATTTTCTTTGAACAGCAGCTTTCATCACGGTCCTGATTGTGCGACTTTCGGATTCCGACACATCAGAAGGTTTAGCAACAATCTGTTCCAGCCAGCTGTCGGAATTGTTCAGCCATGAAGGACCGCTCATCCACATTTCGTTAGATTCCAAGTCACTTGATCCCCGACTACCGATATCCGCAGGATTCTCTTTACTAGGTACATATTTCCGAACGATTTCTTCCTTCTCATTTATTTTCTCTACCCGATTGGCCACGAATTGTTTATATCTTCCCTGACCTTGGATCCATTGAAGACAGACAGCATCAGACCATGCGAATACACCAGCAATGTGTATATGACTAAGTACTTTGAATGTGTTGTGTAGCAGGTTACTTAGCATGTGGCAACTCACTAACTCCAGGCGCGGAATAGTCAAGTCCCGTTTGGTCAATCTTGTTTTTGAAATCAGGAACCTTGAATAATCACTCCAGCTTGCTTGATAAGATCACAGCGCAACAACCAAGAAGGCTCGCATCTGCGAATCCATGAAGAATCAATACGACAATCACACCGATTTCTCTAGGTATTGCTCTTGGCATTTCTCCCATCGTCGCTTTAGCTCTTCAGGTAGATCTGCATCCCATCCCAGCTTAGAATCACAGATATCTCGAAAGATCACTTTTGCCGTGAGTAGAATAGGTGCTGCTAATCCCTGCGGATCATAGATTTTTGCCATAGTTCTCAGAACGATTCTTTTCGTAACTTCATTTTCGTTTGATGGAAATGTCACTGACAAGGTGTCTTCTGATTTGTTCCAGCCTAATCCAAGAAGTTTGGTCTCCAAGGGTGTTGTCCCTATACTTTCCTTCGCATAGGTAGTTTCTCCATCTTCCTTTACATCACTTTCTAATTCTGCGGCGTCCGAATGCCATTTCTGTAACATGAACCCACCTTCTCCCAGGATTTTTACAGCATCTTCTTTGATTTCTCTCGTTTTTTCACTGTGTCGCTTGCAATGTTTATATCGTCGACGTATGTACCATGTTTAGGCTCTCGAACACAAATCGGATGATCTTGTGAGTACTTCTCTAGATGAACGTTCAATGTCCATCCAAGAATGGACTTGGACCCAGACCAAACATAAGTCTTGTCATGCGGTAGATCTTCTCTTCTCTGGTGTGCAAGTTATTTATCCACAGGAACCTTAAAACGTCACGTTCGGTTTCTCTGATAACAATCTGAAGAAACGTTTGCTTTATATCTCCAGCTAATAGCACAGGTTTAACTCGGTTTCGCAAAAGAATATCTAACAACTTTCGTTGAAGTGGAAGGCCAATCTCTAGACAGTCATTCGCTGACGGACTATCTTCGTTAACCTTTGCGGAGGCGTCGTAGACGATACGAACTTTTGTTGATTCTGCTTGTTCCCGAACGACAGGTTTATGTGGAATGTAATGTTCGTGCTTCTCGTTTGGTTCTGTTGGTGCAATCTCTACAATTCCCTGTTCCACTTGGTCTTCGATGATTTGATGGTATGTCTCAAGTAAGGCAGGTTGTTTATCCAGTCGCTTCAGTAGTGACTGAAATCTCGGTCGCGCAACGTTGATGTTGGTTGGTAATTTGGGATGGCTAGCTTTCCATGGTAGTGCTGTCTCGTATTTTCCATCTTCTCTCCAGGTCAACTGTTCTTTGAACGCCTCAAGCACGGTTGTTTGATCACCTTCAGGTGGATCCTTGAGCCCCAGAACATCTAAAATACAAAGTTCCATGTAGTCTTCATGTGTGCTTCTCCCTAACATTAAATATGAGTGATGTATTTCCCGTCCCTGCGACATGATTGTCCACCTGAGTCTCGTTCTCTCAGCCACTGGTTTTCCATCACCTCCAATTTTGGCAGGTGTGCTTGTTTTGACTCGTGAATAATCACTGGCACCCAGTATCATGTGAACTAGCAACATTGGCTTCGTATCAACATCGTCCATCTCTGTGCCTTCAAGGTGTGAATTACTGGCAATAACTTCTCTATAACGTGGATTTTGCAAGGTCAGTAGCACTGGTCGATCAACACAATTCACTTCAGACGACATGCTAAAGTTTTTATTAATGTTTGTGATTTCAATATTGTAAACATCAATCTTCTTCGAAGTGGTATGCAACATCATCTCTATGGTTTTGATCTCTTGTCTAATTGGCTTCTTTTTTGTTAAGTTCATCAACGTAGCAGATACATAAGAATTTCCTGAACCAGTGTCCAGTAACGCTCGACATTTTACTCCTTCTACTTCAACAACCACTACAGGATATATCACGTTGGATTGGTTCGGTTGGCACATTGTAGGGCTTGGTTCAGCTTTGTCACAAATGGATGTATGATGTTTACGTTGGCACTTGTAACATTGGGTATTGCTTTTGCACTCTCTTGCTCTGTTTTTCTCCCGTACAGTTAAAACACCGTCTCTTTATGCTCAGGATTCTCTTTCGCTCTCCGACATCGACAACTTTGGTACATTCCACTGATCTATGGTCGTCGTTTTCACAATATACAGATTGACGTTGTTTTAAGTGATCTCTTGTTGCAAATTGGTTTTCTCTTTGCTTAAATTTTGGATGTTGACCGCCATCTTTATCTCCAGGTTGTAGGGGATTGCGCTCGACCCACTGACGTAAAGCTTCGACAAGTTCAGTAAAGGTCCATTTCTTCCATTCTTTTTCAGCTCTAATTAGATCAGCTCGGATACCCACTAATTTGTCCAAGGTCATTCGCACATTACCGGCAACTTGTTCCAATTTCCCCAGTGCTTCCAACGCTTGAACATGTCCCAAAAGTTTGTCGTAAAAATTGTGTTTCTTGGGTCTTGATATTCCAGCAATAATTGGCAACGACATTTCCTGAATATGGGCACTCACTACTTCACTAGAGTCACCATATCTTTATTCTAAGAATTCTTTGGCTTTCTTATACCCTACACCGTCAGCTAGTAATTTCTCAATTGTTGCACGTACCTTGGGTATGACAAGTTCCTTCAAATACGAAAATTTAGCTTCATCTGGAATGGATGTTTGATCAATTTGAGTTGAAAGAAGACTCCAAAATCTTACCCAGTCAAGATATGTTCCTTGGAACTTGGATATTTGCAAATTTGGTAATTTCGATTTCACGCGTTTCTTTTCTGCTATTTCCAATTTCTTTTCCTCAAGTTGTAAAGCGAATTTTTCCTCACGAATTCTTTTATTGTTCTCAGCTTCCTGTTCTTCTTGCCTCATCCAGTCGCGAATAATAGATTCCTCGTTTAACTTGTCGTTACGAGCCTTTCCCTTGCGTATACTTTCGTCATGTTTTAGCCTTTCATCGAGCTTTTCGACCGCACTTTCATAGGGTTGCACTTGTAATTTCCTTTCTTGAGTCCACTGATCGATTGCTTCGTCGCTCTCGCCGGAATCTAACTTTAAACCTTGTATAGTTTGTATTAAATCATACGCTTCGTCCAGCTTGGTTTTAAGCAATGTATATTGTCTGTTTATTTTGTCACTTCCGTACTCACTTTCTAGAGTATCAGCCGTAGATCGGTTAAAATAAGCGAGCTTTCTCAACAACGATTTGAAATTGGCTTCTGTTGACTCGATGTCGTTTTGTGCGATGGTTTGTTCTCCTTGTGCTTCGACGTCATTTCGCGATTGTCGTGTTATCATCTCGATCTCTGAATTTGTTTACATATACCACGTAATTTTGCTCTAACTCGATTGTTGTGTAAAATATCCCGTTTCACGTTTGTCACAATACCCCGTTTATTAAGTTAATCCCGTCTGGAGGTGCCCTTTGTGGTAGATTTTTGTTTGATCCCCACAATAAGAGCAAATTACGCGTTATATCTTGTGTTTTGTTTTATATCCCTTCCCAAATCGCTCTCAGTTACATATATTCCCATGCAATAACAACATTTCTTTTATCTCATGCCTGTCAATCAATTCCATATATGGTAGTCGCCTCATCTCTAAATTTAACTATTAATTATTAATGTCAACTTTTCTCCCGACATCGGCTAGATTTTAAAATATTTTAATTTTTTTTATTTCATTGTGCTAACCTTTACCCAGATAAATCACCCCGTATTAAATTGGAGAGAGATGGAAACGTATTCGCATGATTTCAAAACTGCTCATATTTTCTGAATCAATAGACTCTAATCTTTCAACGAATATGCTTTTACGAACAGGATTAGCAAACACATGCAATTTCTAGCGGAATATTTAGAGGCCCTATTCAGACTACTACAGACTACATTAGACGGTTGTGCCGTTTTTGATATCAACCCGTATTTTCATATGAACAATACTTTGATTAGTGAATTAAGAAATCTTTGAAGAATCATTTTGAGGCTCTCGACTAGATTTTTTACAATCTTAAGTTGAAAATTTAGCTTTTTCCTATTTTTAGCAAAATCCCGATTTTTGTATAAGTGTTTTCAAGGATTTAATCATAAATAAACTTTCCAAAGATATTTTAGTAGAAAAATGCGTTAAAAACAAATTTTAAACCCACCCTGAGTTTATTATTTTAATTTCATCTGTCCAGGGAGTGAAAACAACTTGCATCTTCGAAAAAAGTTAAATTTCGTCAATATTTCGTCGTATAAATAAATAGTTCATAATTTCCAATTTCAATTTGAAGTCTTTTATCCATGAGGACATTTTTCAATAGCCTTTGAATAAACGAACTTAAATTCTTGCACAACCACTGTTTTCTTCCCAAAGGAGAAGCCCAAAAACTTGCTTTTGCTCATTTTAATAATTTAAAACAAAATTTTCGCTGGCGCCCGCAATTTACTGACCAGCGACAGCAAATTTCCCACCTGTTGAGTGAATATGTAACCGCTCGTTCAATTCAGATGACCACATCTATACGTGGGCTCAGTACGATTAGATTAGCGAGAGCAAAGCACAATGAAACGCTCGTGTCGTGACCATCCATCACCCCAAAATTAATGCGAAACACGTGAACTTATAGAGAAACACGTGCATTGCTTCATAGCTCGTATTCCAGCGTGTTCCGGGTGTTCCGTGCAGGTGGGGTTCCAGGTGCATGGGGTTCCGGGTTTTACAGACACCCGAACAAGGGAGGTAGAACAAAAAATGATGGAACAATTGATATAAAATGCCGTAAGAGTTGTTCATGGATGCTTTCCATTACGTAGAAGTTCATTACGCAGAAGTTCTTGCCCAACCTGTTTTCTGCGATATTCAACAGCAGTTTTGCACTTCCTCCATCTTGGAAGGTTGCTGATATTGTGCCATTGACAAAAACAAAAGCCCCGCTTACACTACGCTCAATTTTTGGTACGGCACGGATAAAATTGGTACCCGTACCACTTTTTTGGTTTTTGCACTACCTATTTAGATAGTCCAAGAACCAAAAAAGTGGTACGGTACCAAAAATTGAGCGTATAGTGTAAACGGAGCTAAAGTAATTTGTATAGACATTTGAGACCGATATCCCTTACTCCAGCTCTTTCCAAGATTGCCCCCAAGATTTTGTTGTGGTGAAATATGTAGGTTCTGCAATTTTGAGCGAAATCGATCCCGATCAATTTGGTGCGATACCTAAATCTTCAACCACACTAGCTGTTATTTCCATGATTCACAAATGGGCGCAAGAAACTGATGGTACCGGTGCAACTGTTTACCGTCAGAGTCTTTCTTTTCGATTACAAATAAACGTTCGACCTCATAGACCATGCGTTACTTGCTGAAAAGATCTCCAAATTACCTATTCCTGCTGTAACTGCACGTTGGACAATCGATTTTTGATGAATCGAAAGCAGAGTCAAACTTTCCAACGATTGTGTTTTTGAGTGGGGCGAAGTTTCCTCAAGCGTCCCCCACGGCACAAAACTAGGGCCTTGGTTGTTTCTAGTAATTAATGATAAACGATCTAAATATCACTGATGTTTCGAAATGGAAATATGTTGATGATATACCACCGTTGCTGAAGTTGTTTACAGAGGAGAAAGTAGCCAAGCTCAAGACGCTGTTGTCGCCGTAGAAGAATCGGGTCAAGAATTAATAGGCTCAATCTTAACGCTGAGAAATGCAAGGAACTTAGATTTGACTTTATGTCGTGCCAACAGATTTTTAATCCTGTGGTGGTTAATGGTGAACAATTACATGTAGCTAGAAATGCCAAGATAGTAGGCCTCGTTATTTCAAGTACCCTTCAATGGAATGAACACATCAACGAAACATAAAGAAAGTCAATAAACGCCTTTTTAAAGCGGGCAAAAGTAAAAGGTAAAGACATTTTCAACTTTTACTGTACTGTTATCAGGCCCATTTTGGAGTATTGTGCACAAGTCTCTAATCATTCGCGTCCGAAGTCCCTGTCCGACGAGCTTGAAGTTGTGCAGAAACGTGTGTTAAAGATTATGAACCAGCTCCTGGAGAGTTATAATCAGCTATTAGAACATTTTACCCTGCCGACACTGCTTCAAAGACGTGAAGAAATGTGCTTAAAACTTTTTAATAACATTATAAATGATCTGTCACAGACCTTTTAACATGTTCCAAATTAATACGAATATATTTCAAACTTTTATTCCTTCAATGTGCAATAGTTTGCTTTAGATTAGGTTTTCAACGTATATATTGTAATATTGTAATTTTTTCAGATATACTTGTAATTTTAATAATGTAATGTTTTTACTGTAAATCACGCAATTCAGCTACTGGCTGCGATGTGAATTTTTAAATACAGGGGCGGATCTAGGATTTTTCGTACGTTAGTCAAAAATTTCGTTGCTGAACATCGAAGGGGGGGTGGGGTTCTTTTAACGGGGGGGGGGGGTCGCAAAGCGAATTAATTTGTATCCAGTTTTACGAAAAAATGTTACGTGAAAATGACTGTTTCGCCCAATTCCGGTCTCGTCAGCATGCCTAGGAAACACATAACTCCATATTTTGTAATTAATTTACATGAATGGTCAAAAGATTTTCAAATATAGCGATGTAGTTTTATAAAACATTTGATTGATTGTTAATTCGCAGGAAGAGAATTTCCACGTTTAATTCACTGCTTCTCGAGTTTTATTCGTAGCAGAAACATGTGCCATGAATAAGTATTCACAATGGCAACATGATGCATTTTACTTTTATAGAATACATGTTGTAGAGATCGTATTACACAAAGCCATGCCACATTGTCATGTGCTTGTAGTTTTAATATACTAGACAACTAGGCATAAATAATACGGTATTCTTAAGTATCTGATCAATATATAAAGCCCACATTCCACAAGAGGCATAAACAAAGTATAAACAAACTGAAACTGCTTGTATTAAGCCGCAGTATTATGTAAATTGACCGAAATATTATGTATAAAATTCCATCTCTTATTACGTACAGACGCGCAACCACTATAGCCTAGAACAGCTATGATGCTATATCAAGTTAAAATAGAATATATTTACCTTAAGGCCGTACAAAACTTATTTCGTTTTCTCTCGAACGTACTTCGCGATGTAAGATTCCGCACCATAATTTCGCGGTGCGAGGAAGAAGCTTGTGTTGTTCACAGCGCTCAATAAGTCTTTAGAACGCTTCGATTAAGATATTGTCGATCATCTTTCTCTACAGGAGCCTTTGCGGTTTCGTAAATACCAACAGACATGGCTAGTATTAGTTTAGAACTTCTGATAAATATTCCGATTGCCCAAACGCACATGCTATACAATCGGCGGGTACGCGTGTAATAATAAGAGACGAAATTTACATAATATTTCAGTCAATTTACATAAATACTGCTGCTAGACTGTGATCAGAAAGATCCAGCAACGTCATAGACCTTCCCGTGCATACTATTAGCCTGAACGGTATGATCGATCAAAAAAATCCAGCCAACGGGAATTGAGGATTTTTTTGAATTAGCCAATAGGATAGCCTGTATTCGAGCCCCTGATCGCTTTAGCGATCAGAACTCCCCACAGATCGCGCAAAAATCGAGATAGCCAATCAGATGGCTGGAATCTGACTCAGAGCGTGCAAAACTCATGCGTAAGACCGCTTTTCTGCGCGTTCATGTTCGAAGGCCTTGCTACTGGATGATATCTTAGAACTGGACTGTTAAACTTTCAATACAATACACTGCGTGAAGTTTGATAACTGGACTGCAATTTTAATTTAACAATTTTCTGCCCAATTTTTACCTTAGTCGCGTGATCGCTCTGATCACCCCTAGATCCGCCCCTGTTTAAATATACCATCTATCTAATATCTATCTAACTAGGTTACCTGAAATGTAGTAAATGCTGCCTTTAAGAAGCACACGCCAAAAAAGTTTTAAAACACTGTTTAGTGTATGCAAATCAAAGATGTGTTATCGCATATACGAAATGTGCAAATACAAAATTTGAAGCGAGCCTAAACTGCGAAACGTATTAAAATAATATCTAAATATGTGGTAAATGCGCATAGCAGTATACGTATAGTATCTGTCGTTTGTATTTGTAAGCGTACTATGAAAGCAGCGCGTAATTAAACAGATTCCACTTGATATATTCTTGCTTATGCTTTAGTGAATATTACTTCCATAAACATAAAACATTAACACGCAAATATTCAATGAGACACACATGTTTAATATCTGTCACCTTTGATTGCCCTTTAACCCCTGGTCTTGGCAACAAATGCATTGCTTTTT